GAAAGATTAAAAGACTGTCTTCAGAAGTGGATCTAGAGATTTAAGAAATGCATTGAAATGAATGGCGATTATGTAGAAAATATAAAAAAGTACGAAGATTACGAATAAAGTAAGGATCCGTTGGTTCGATCCCTGCCATAAGAAGTCTAATGAGGAGATATGGTGATCTCCGAAACCATTTTTCTTGTTGTATAAAAAAATATTCAATTCATACAAATAAACCAGGCCTTTAGTTTACTTAATACTTATATCAAAAAAAATTATGATTCTTTCCTGCCAATTTATCGAGCTTTTGTAAATACCCACGTATGTATGCAGAAGAATATATGTATATAGAATTCAAGGAAAATTCATGGAGGTAAAAAAACAATTCTTTGTATTTTGTTTTTGTTTTCAGTGTAAATATTGTAGATACGCACCTGCAGGCTACTCACCGAAAGAGGTATGGAGCTCCAGCTGGTCTCCCACCTAAGGCGATTATATTTGAGAGTGGAATAATTTCATATTCTTCGCGGATTTGATCCAATTTGAATATGTGATCTACTTGACTTTGTCGTCGTTTCAAATTTTCTTCAATCATCTACTATTGAGGTTTCATCGTCAAGATCTGGCGACTGCAATCTAAACTTGGCCTCACAGTGATACGAAAGTCGTAAATAAATAAATAAATGATATAAATCTTAAAGACGTCATCTGCAGACGACTTCATAGCCGAGAGCCATAATAAATACACTGTATCTGCATCTCACTAGCGTTTTCAGAACCTTCGAAAATAATGAAAAAATAAATATTTTCAATGGGCAACAGGTGCCACCTTTGAAATAAATCAATTTACATATTTCTTATTTTATTCAAATATTATATAATTGCAAAATGCAAATACATACATACTTACATGCTTTTGTGTATATGTACTTAAGTTCTGATAGTTGTTTATTTGAAATAAATTTTAACATTTTTCGTTTTCAAAATCCATTAAAAGAATAAGAACATGTATATATGTACGAGTATTTTCGATCGCAATCTTTGCCAAAATCTTGTGCTATTTTGTCTTTCTTTAGACACTTTTTTCAATAAGTTTAGGCATACATGGATGTAAGTACATACATATTTATGTATGTATATGGTCGTAAGTGCGTCAATATCAACGATTGTACAGAAAAAATTTGAAATGAGCCCATGAAACTCGCGCAGATCACCTTATTGATTAACCAAACCAAACTAAATCGCTAAACATAATATTTTTTTTTTATTTATAGAACAAAGTGTGGAAAATGTAGTATAATACACATGCACATATAATACTTACATATACATATACACAATTTTTTCGCACCTGACGAATAGTGACATAAAGTTCATTATACGAATTCATGCACATACATACATACATACATATGTATGCCCAAATGTGCTGTGAAAAAGCTCAATACATCTTCATACATACACTACATATGTATGTATATGCGGCAGACGTTGAAATTTTTGTGAGCGGCACACACCTGCGATCGAATTGTTAGGAGCTTATAATAACTGTAAAGGGTGGCTCGGCAAATGCACTGTTCCTTGATGAGTTTCCTATATTGAATACTCTGGAATTATAACTCTCAATTGTTGATAGACCGATTGCTTGGGACGACAGGCTAAATTAGACCAAATTAGGGGGGGAGGGGAGGAGGCAAGAATCTCTATCACAAATACGACATCTAGAAATCTGGCTTTGGTACCACGATTTTTCATTTTATGGAGTATGAATAATCTGTTTTCGTGAATTTTGGCATCCGAACATTGCCAATGAAGTATTTTCTTTTTTTCCTTCTTCTTCTTTACTGGCGCTTACGTGATTTTAGCTGAGAGCACCATCAGTTCCAGGTTTATTCTCTACCTGGTCTTTTCAACAGAGTGGAGGTTTTCCTCTTCCCTGCTTCCACCAACGCTTACTGCATCGAGAACATTCAAAGCTGGAGTATTCTTATTCATCCGGATCATATGGCCTTGCCAGCTGAATTATGTCAATGTCGCCTTACTATATGTATCGTACAGCTCTTAGCTCCAATACTTCGTTATTCGCCGTTACCAACTCTAAGAGAACCATAAATCTTATGCAAAACCTTTCTCTTGAAAACTCCACTCTGTCGACTCATCAGATGTTGCCATCGTCCATGCCTCTGCATCATATAGCAGGGCGGGAATGATGAGTGACTTGTTGAGTTTAGTTTTTGTTCGTCGAGAGAGGAAATTTCTTTTCAATTCAATTGGTAAGAGGGATTCGATTTTGGGTTTCTATTCTGACATTGTTGGTGGTTCCAAGATAGACGAAACTATCTGTGACTTCATAATTACGACTGTCAAGCGTAAGCTTCAACGAATCTTTAGACCGAATATTTCGAACAAGCTCCACTGAGCCGTGACCCAAGACTCGACTCGGGGTGATTATCGCATCATGCTCAAGGGCTGCTCATGTTTCCAGGGTGCTCGATGTGAACGCAAGAGTAAGAATTGAGTATAACATACTCTACATACCCAAAAGCTTAACTATAGTCCATTACATCCCACAACACCCCATTACATGTCGATAACGACGAAAACCTGACTGAAATCTAATTCCAAACGTCGGTGGCAGAAGTTCTACTACCGCCTGCGGCACAACGAGCTTAGCCAGCGAACACAGCTCTGCTGTGAGGGGAGCCGTTCCCAGCGTTTGTTGCAACGGAAGAGTGCCACAGTCCAAGAAGACTCGATCTTGAAAGCGTAAACACGATCGAAAATAAGACATTACCGTGCTAACCACGTGATACCAAAATTCCTTATCCAGAAAGAGAGTTTGACTAGAAAAAATTTAAGAAGACCGGACGTGGTTCATATCTTCAGATCCGTGAAAGACTAGATTCACTGATACTACACTGCGCTTTTTAGTAAGAGCTTCACAGCACAGGGAATAAATTCTGGGTGTTTTTTTGGACATAAGAAGAGCATTCCACAATATGTTCAAATCGTACCATCGGAATAAAGCGAGGCTGCTCAGGCTAGCACTTGAATGAATTTCCCAGAGAGGGTGTCTCGACATCACGTCTGCAATCATTTGCACCAAACGGGCATCTGAACAGACATCGCTACGGGCAAGTTCGTCGACAACATTAGTAAAGTGATTGGGAACGCTCTAAGAGATTGTTAAGACGTTAAAAGATCCCTACACAGAAATTTCGGACGCTCAACGCAATTGAGCTATTAAGTGACTAGGAGTAAATTTGGACAATTCAAGTCCATGTGAAATATCAACGAGAAGAAGAGTGTGAAAACGTCTCAGACAACTCTTCAGCTATCAGATCAAAACAGTGTCGGCGGTGGTGTTCGAAATAATATGAAAAATACTGAAACTGGGAATCAACTGGGTTCCAGTCTACAAGGACACCGTGGGACGCGAAATAGTTAATAGATGGCCAACAGTTATAACCGTCTAGCAACCGAACTAGTACATGAAATACGAAAAGTGCCAAAGACTTTGTTTTCGAATAACCCTTTATCCCCCAAAGCTCGGCGCGGCGTCAAACTATGAAAATCTGTTGATGTGGAAAACGCCAAAAACGTATGCTGCGCATATTTTTCGCCACAAACAAAGCCGCAGCAGTTGACAGAGGGTAAAAAAAGAACACAACACAAACGGAAAAAAAGAAAAATTTCGGAAAAGAGCAAAATAAACGACGAAAGAAAACAACTTTCAAACGAAAGCTGCAAACAAAGGCGAGTAAAAACATTTGAAATGTATTTTGCACACCAGAGACCGGCAAATTTTCACCTACTCAACGTTTGTTTGAGATGGTTTTGTGAGTTTTTTGACACTGTCTGCTGGCGCTCGCGGACACGTTGTGCTCAGGCAGCAACAACTCACAGATGAAAAATCTGAAAGTCATCTTTGCGACGATATTTCTTTGCTCGTGCCGATTATTTGCATTGCTCCTTTTACCCCTAGAGCTACTCGTCGATTTGACATGGCACGTACCAAAGACCAAAGCGATTGGAATACAGACAGAAGAGGCGAGATCGAGCAGCCAGCTAGCTGAGTACAATAAGCCACGATGGGGTAGTGGAGAGTCGGTGCACATACGACATTTGTACATACATATGTACATGTACCATACATAGGTACATTGCTCTGGGCATGAGGGTGCCATACTTAGTGTTGAAATGTCAGATCTCCCCTCGCCGGACCATTTCCATGATATTTTCCTTTGTTTAGGTTGATTCTCTTTGAAATATTTTCCTCATTTGTTACACCTTTACTTCAGCACTTCCTTCGGCATACTCACACACAACCGAACTGCTCATACGCACAACGTACTCGTGTGCATGAATTTGTTGCTCTCGAGAAATAATTGACTCGGATTTATTTTTAACACATCACACTTGTTTGGCCGCGCGCACGAACCTCTCAGCTGTCTCCCGCAAGATATATAAAGATATACCATAATGAAACGAGGGAGGCCTCTTAGCATCCTAAGTGAGTGGCGCAGCTGCTACCGTAACGTTGGCTGGTTGATCAGCGCGATCCATCGCCAAGTGCCACCAGCACAATACGACGACAGCGTCTGCGTTGGCGATGGCGATGGCGATGGTGATCGACCACCATCATACGTGGCATAGTGAAACGTCAGCACCACCAACATCGTCATCAGCTCCCCTCCCCTCGGCAACTGGCGTCGCTGCTGCTGTGCAGGAACGCGTCGGAAACATTTTTGAGATGTAAAAATGTAAGTGGTATTTTGAAAAACATTTCAGTACTTTTTGAGATTTCCAAGTGATTAAACGTGTGCACATAAAACACCGTTAGACAGAGATCAAGAAACACTCAAAAACGATCAAACCAATATAGAGCAAAAGGAAAATAGAACATTTGTATGTAAATAAAAAAAAAATTAATTAAAAATTAGTGAAAATTGAAAATGTTTGACGCAAAAAATTAAAAAAATAAAAACGAAAAAGTGGAAAATATATATATATAGATATATTTGCTAAATTTTTGGCAATGGCTATGTGTGAGGATTTTAAAATTTCATAATTCAGTGGAATCTCTCGACCTACAGCAACTTGAACGATTTATGTGCAAAAAATAAAAAATAATAAAATAAAATACTTTAAAAACTGTAAATTGAAATCAGACGTTTTATTTAATTAAATTAAAACTTTTTTTAAATCCTGACAATACTGTTAAAAATTAACATTCCTGTGCCTACTTGAAGCCTTGTGCTTGCGCTCGGTGGTGTTTAATAGAAAGTTTCAGAGCATTGGCACGCGGTCCCACATACATACATACATACATACATATTATATATACTCGCACAAACATATGCATATTGTCGCCGCGTTGGCCGTTTCCCGTCTGCGCGGCTGAATCATCCATCTAAATTCTGCCTGCTGCTGTTGTACAGAGCAAGTGCTTCCACAGAAAAATTGAACACAAATCGCCAATAATAATTTAGCAAAAGACATACATACACGTACATACACATAGATATTGACGTGTTGGGACAAAAACAAAACGAAAAATTTTATCTGCATTTCTTAGGTGAGTTTTTAATGTGGTTTTGAGAATCAATTTTTGGGTTTTTCAATTTCATTTCACTGCATACACAAACACGCATACATACTTATTCGAAATGCGCTGTTTATCACAATGATTTCGCAAGAAATATTTTTCTTCATATACGTGTACATACATATATGTATATTGTATGATACATATACATATTTGTAAATATTTATCACAAATATTTTGCTAAAATTTTAATTAAAATCGCATTTTTATACATATTAATATATATTCATAAATAAATTCATAAAATTTTGTTTTCAATTTTACGGTAATGCATGAAAACAGCTCAACGATTTGTAGGAACGCTTCCGAAATTAGTGATCACTTAGTTGAGAATGAGAAAGCTATAAAAACCAATATTTTTAAAAAAAATTTAGTCATAAAAAACAGATTAAACTAAAAATGTCAGAATACAAAAGCTCACTTGCGATTGTGTCCGGTGAGAGGTGGGGAGGGAAATAAAAAAATATTCACAATAGAATTTTCCATCGTTGAATTCAACTTTACGTCTCATTTATCACAAACTTTCAACACGTCAAATATATTCAATTAAGATCCAAAAACTCTTCATTGCTGGGTAGTTTCCCTCTCTGCGACTTGAAACGCGTGCTGGTGGTCGGGACAAACCTAAAGATTCACGATCAATGAAATGTACAAGAGAGCGGTTTTAACTGTTTTAGATGGAAGTTTAGGTGTGGAAATATCAAAAAATCATTTTCAATATATTTCAATACACTTGGAAGACGGTTATAACTGTTTCTACACACAAAAAAAATTTTTTTAAATAATATTTTTTTTATATTCAAAAAACGCAGAAATTACCTTCTTGATATAATCCTGCCCGATAAATTTTCTACCTCTCAGCTTTTAATTAATTTTTGGAGACAGATAATAGTTCCTCGGAACCAGACCTGTGGTATTGGAGGGTTATACAAAATATGGAAGCCTATCTTATATACTCGTAAGGTAGTCAACACAACGCGACACTTGTGGACGCAGCAAGCTTTCGACAATTTCCTATAATATTGAAGCGTAGTATTCTCCAATTATATTGTAGAAACATCTCTCTCTTAATAATCGATCAATAATATTCGTTCCGAGTTCTAAAAGACTGTTGCCATGAGTTTTCTAGCTGAATGTGATACCTTAAACTTCTTCAGAGGTGCCGTGTCCTGTTTTAGGCCACTTTGGCAGGGAATTTCAAATACTCTGAGAGTATTTTTTAGCATGAAAAAAAGTTTCTAATAAAAATTAATCGGTTCTTAGGTAGTTTAGAATGAACTGTTAGTCCCTCCATTTGTTGGAAGAGACCAACACAAAACGCATTTCACAAACTGGAGCAGAAGCTTAGCGTAAAATCTCTTCAGCGGTTACAAAGCACCAAAAAAATTATTATGGTGTTCTGTTCTCGGCATCCATATTGCGCTGACCTTAGTCAAGCCTAATAGATTGTGGAGGATTTTAAAAATTGTTTTATCGGATACTCTTACTATTTCTTCGAGTTATTTGTTCTATAGTCGTGCGTTGTGGAGGGCAAGTTTTTCAACTTTTTGCATAAGTTCTGACGTAGTTACCTCGATGCTCCTGCCCGGCATCGGGGTCATCTTTATGGCACTCTCTTCCTTGTTTAAATAAACTAGCCACTATCTGGTTTTTTGTTTTGGGGTCAAGAGTCGCCCTAGGTCAATGACATCTCAATCATTATGGTCGGAGCTGATTTTCATTGCTTGGAAGGAAATTTATAACCGCACGGGTTTTTCAATATTTAACTTCTCACTTCCGTTTATGTTGCTTGATTGAAGATTGCTCAAAGACTAATTGTTCAATAACAATAAAACCTTGTCTTTGAACTAATTATGAATCACCGAACATGTTGCAGTCCTATTGAGTCCAATCACCTTCACAAAACCCCTTCAGTGCGCGTACATAAAAACGGTTCCTCTTATATTTCCTAATTTTCAGAAAGATATTGTACCTCCTGATTAAAAATATTGGTGTAGTAAAAAGAAATCCATTATTTTTGTCGTATAGATGGCATTATTTATCTGTATCTCGCATTGTATAAGTCCGATCCCATAAAGAATATGACATGATAAGAAAAATATCCCATTCGCAACTCCAAGTGTTCTATATTTATTTTCCAAGATCAAGCGAATATCCCTATTGAAATATTTCGTTGCAAGCAGCAGTGGCGAATTTCCTTTTTCAAAAATAATGAAACGATGGTATCTAATATTAAATTAAGAGCACCGACGAACTATATGTTACACATTTGCATACATATCGTATATGTACAATATACAATATACAATATGTTTAAATTATTTTAAATCTTTTACCGCAATCACATATTATCGGTTAAATTATCGACAGTTGCATTTCAAATTGTCAGCCGCCGTTGCTATAACATTAATATTTAGATTTAAAACGTTGTGTACGAGGGGATTAACAAAAGTTCGGCAAGTTAATACGAAAAAAAACTTTTTGTATTTATTGGTAATTTTTTTTATATTCTCTACATCATCACCATTCATTTCCATGCATTTCTTAAGCCTCTAGATCCACTTCTGAAAAGAGCCTTCAAAATCTTGTATTTTCAGGCTTACCAAGTTCAACATTAACCGCTGAATTATCTCCTCGTTGCTATTAAGGGCCTTTGCTTTTAAATTTGTTTTTTTCATTTTTGGAAATAACCAGAAATCACAAGGGGAAATATGGCGCTGTACGCATTTCTCCGTTCCCAGAGATCCCATTAGAATTACTTGTTATTTCAGCAGTGTGGGATGACGCGTAGTCATGACGTAAAAAGTAGCGCCACAAATCCTCTTTCTTCCTCTTTTCCTAGAAATTTTTGAAAACTTTTGGTAAACACTCTTCGGTGTACCATTTTGCAGTTACCGTCTGATCCTTTTCCCGTGGAATAGCAGCTACGATTTTAGATCGGGTGAAGTAAACAAACATTATGACTTTTGCTGCTGATTTTTATTGTTTAGATTATACGGGTGGGTTTGCTCCTTTTGGGCTCCATACCATGGACTGCTCTTTGGTCTTTGGATCATACTTATAGAACAATAATTCGTCACCATTAACGACTTTTCTAAAGTTGCTAGACTGACCATTTTCGCATTAGTTTTGGTAAAATTGAGTAAAATGCATTCGACCCCTTTTTAGGCTTCATTTAAAATTCGTGGTACCCATCGAGCAGATTTCTTCGGGTATCCCAGATGATTACTTAATATTCGCGATACAACCATCCCATTCAAGCCCAATTCATTAGCAATTATTTCTTGTGTCAATCCTGGGTCTTCGTCAATTTAGGACTTAACCAGAGCTTCAGTGACGTCATCAGTGGAAGAGTTTAGTTATTGCTGGTTGTTTGAAAATGGAAATTACAAGATTTCAAAAAATGAACCAAATACACGTATTTAATGCAAAAAATGAAAATAGCTCAAAAACAATTTGAAACAAGTTAAGAATGTAAGGGCACATTCCAACAAACTGCATAATTTGTAAAACGAATTTTCAAACCCCCCTTCCCTCCAATAATAAGCGTTTAATAAAAAATAATATATATGTATATATAATATATAAAATATTTTATGCGTTCGAAAAGAGTTCCTCTTCGCTTCATGAAAATAATGTGTCTTTGAGTTGGGCCTCTTTTGCAGACACTATACGATTTGTAAAGATGTACATATTTACATATGTAATTAAAGGTGCTTTGTGTAAATATAATAATCGCAAGCACTTGCGAGCCAATTTCATTTGCGTTTCTGCAATCAATGTCAAGTGTAATAAATGTGATTGCTGCTATAAAATATACTACTCATAATAATTAACCAAATGCGTTGAAAGTAGGTTTCGGCGAAAGAAAATTTCATCAACATAAATATGCAGCAAATGCTTCCTAATGACAAAGTGAAAAATTAAATAACAGACAATTATTGTTTTTGCTCTAAAAGGTTTTCTTTTCTTTTTGTTGTTCTTTTTTGTAAATTTGAATTGCTTCTAAAAGATTAAATAATTTAAAATGAATTTAATTAGGGCAGCGTAAAAGGGTTTACAAGAGATAATATTACAAATTAAATCACTACAAAAAGGGTTGATTGCTACAACTGTTGCATACTTCAAGGCGTAAATAGCGCAATAGGTCTCCAGCTAATTTGGATTATTTCTTTTGTGCAAAATATTTGGTTGTTGAAATTGTTGAACTTAATTTCTCCTTTAGTATTATCGAAATAATTTAGCTTAAACCACATCTATTCGTATTATACATGCATACATACATACATAGCTGTGTTTGTTAGGCAAAAGTAAGACCCCAACAATGTGGAGGTCAATGTCGGCTTACCTTTAAAAGGATAATTGCTAGAAAACAAAACACAGACGCGCTGATTTCTGTTTACAATTGATATTGTGTAAACAAATCACTTGGAGCTACAATACATATGTACATACTGAACAACGTACAGAGCACAGAGGGATGAGGATAATAAAAAACGGCGTATTACGTATTCTATGCATCTTGAACGCAGCAGGCGGTAGCCTAAAATGCTGGTGGTGGTCGTATTGGCTGCCGTGAATGCCGTGAATGCGTTATTCATTGGACTCCACTCCACTTGTGCCTCACCAATGCATTGTGAAGTACATCCATACGTACATACACACACTAGGCATATACAACAAAACGTACATATACAAACGTGTACACATACAGGCGTACATATAGTCGTACATACTATATAAACGGTAGCGGATTTCAATAATAATTTTCCAGCTTGAACTAAAATGTAAATTAACAATTACTAAAAATAGACTGCAACGAAGTCATTGATCGGTTGGTAGCCACCAACAAGCAAGCAAACATTACCAACAACACACCGTGCATATGCAATATTATGAAGTAGGAAAATTTCAATGTTCGAGTATGTATGTACGCAGTTGGGTTTATTGCTTTCTTAGGTGGTGCTGAT